GTATATATATATATATATATATATATATATATATATATAATTTTACAAGGACCTAAAGTTAAGTAAAAAAAAATTAAGGACTAAAAAAAAAGAAAGAAGTATATTTCAAGAACTAATAAGATATTTAAGCTTATTATATATGACAAATAATAAGTAAATGATAGTGTAAAACACTATTGATGTATAAATTATTTACTCATATTATTTTATTATGAGGAAGAAAGAGGCATTTTGTGTCTCTCAATATTTTTTAAAGATAAAAAACTCCCTTTATATAAGCAAAAAGTACCTAAAGTTATACGTAAATTTTAACTAAATTGACCTTATTTAATGTTATTATCATCCCAAAAAAATCTTTAAATTAAATGAGATTACTATTTTCAATGAACATTATTGAGAGTAATTTAGGAAGTAAAGTTTAGTTTTCACATAAAATCAATGAAATTAAATAAACTTAACTAATTTTCTTAATATATGAAAGTTTATGTATTTTTGTTTGTATATTAGTTCAAAAGATGTAAAATAAAAAAGAAACACAACGAATTAAATAATTATTTAGGAGAAATTATTAGGTGTTTGAGGACTACCAAATGTTTATGATTTCAACTATTTATTATATGACATACATTTTATGTTGAAAAAAATTTATGACACTTAATTACAAGTCATATAAAGAATAGATTGAAACTTTGTAATTCAAGACATCTAATAATCTTGCTCTTTAGAGAGTCAATAGTTACTTAAAAAAATTTATTTTTTCTTTAATAATTGAAGTTGTAATTTTCCAAAATTTATAAAGAGAAAAATGGTTACAAAATAGAGGAATGTTATAATATCACTAGTGTAACTTTTATATCAATCTAAGATGATTGGATGTTTTATTCTTATAAAAGAAAATTGACGTAATATATGCATTTCAAAATATACTAAAATATGAACACTTTAATTACTTTCAAGTTGTTATTCAATTTTAACAAAATTTGGTATAAACATATAAAGTGATATGAACTTTCAATCTAACGATTAGATTTACAAAATTCACATTTAATATAAAGTTATTAAGTGGTATAATACTTAGTAAAAGTTAAACTGGTGTTATTATAACTCTCCTTTACAAAATATATTAGTAATCTTAAAAGTTTTCTATGTTGTATAAATTCAGGCAAATAATTCACCCTCGGATCCCACAGTTGGCAATAATAGGGTACGCAGAGGGACTAACAAATATATTTGCCTCGGAAATGAAAAGCTTGTGGTTGGGGCATTTCTTGGATGGAAGCTTTGAAGTGCCTAGTATAAGAGAGATGGAAAAGGATGTGAAATTGTGGGAAGAGAATTTGAAGCAATATGGTGGAAGATATTATTGGAAATCATGCATTGCTAATTGTGCAATCTGGTATCACGATCAGTTGTGTAAAGACATGAACATTAACCCCAGAAGGAAGAAGGGCTTTTTTTCGGAGTGGTTTGTGCCATATGGCATCCTTGATTACGTGGCTCTTACTCCTAAATGACAATTTCAAACCAATTTGTTTCCATGTTGCTTTTCTTTCTAATTTCAATCGTTTGTATGAGCCTTTTAATGCTCATATATATACTTGCATGTTAATTTCTTTATTAGAACTTAATAAGATTTAGAGCTTGTTTCTTTTTTCCTCATTAAGTATTTTTTTTTTATTTGCATCAAGTAAGGATGACAATGAATCAAATTAATTCGAAAATAGTTTGAAATTTAATTTGATGACTAACTTATTAAACTTGGTTCATGAATTATATGAGTTAATTTTGAACTAATGATCGAACTTGATAAATAAATTAATTGAACTTAAGTTGCGTATTGTTCGACTCGTTTGATTTATGAATTGTCTCGACAGATAAGTATATGATTTTATAATTTATATAATTAACTTTCTATTTGATTTTAACTTATTAAAATTTGAAAGAATGTTCAAATTTTGGTTATAAGTTAATAATAATAGAGTAAGAAAACACTTAAGAATTTGATGGTGATGGATTGAGTTTTATATTATTTTATGCAAGGTAAAATAAATTTTATTTATATAGACTTTGGTTGTAATTATGTGTTTTTTTATTCATACCTTGAAACCTTGTAAAACTAATAGAATAAATTTTTTGTCTTAAAAAAAATTAACAATCATTTTATCTATAATTTATTATTAAATTTAAAATTTGAAATATGTAAGATTAAAAAAAATTGACTCTTAATACATATGGTTTAAACTAACGAGCTTAAAATCGAGTCAAATTCAAGTTAGAAAAAAAAATTGTTCATGTCAAAATCAAGCCAAGTTGTAAATTAAGTCAAATACTATTAAGTTGAAACAAGTTTAGCTCAGTTTAACCCATTTCCAATCTTAGATGAAGGATAAAAGCAACGAGAGGCAAAGAAAGCTATCTAATAAGCTAACTAAAAATTATAAAGTACTACTTTCATTTTTATATATAAGGAACAAATACCTAATTCATCAATACCAATGAAACTAATTAAATTAGTTATTATAATTAATTATTAAGGTAGTAAACCCTAAATCCTAAACTAGTTGATTAATGTAAAATAACTTGTTTATTTGTTTAATAATGAGAGAGAGAGTATAACATAGGCACAATGATTTCTTAATTAAAAATAAAAAAATAATTTTAAGTAAATTAATAAAGATAAAAAAGGAAAGAGAAAAAAAAAGTTAAGAACTTATAAGTCACAATCTACTTCAATTAGTTTTATATATGGAAATACTAAACTATAAATTCTTACAATTAGTTTTGGAGAAGGGTTCAAACGACACCAGTGCAACTTTTACTAAGTATTACGCTGCTCAATAATTATATTAAATATTAATTTTGTAAATTTAACTGTTGAATTATAACTTCATATTACTTATATGTTTATATCAATTTTTGTTAAAATTGAACAATAACTTGAAAGTAATCAAAGTTTTTATATTATTTTGAAATGTATATATTACGTCAATTTTGTTTTATAAAAATGAAGTATTAAATCATCTTGGATTAATATAAAAAAATTTATATATGATCTAAGAATAAAAAACTTTCAATATAACGGTTGGATTTATAAAATTCACATTTAATATAAAATTATTGAGTAGTGTAATACTTAATAAAAGTTACACCAATATCGTTTCAACCTTTCTCTAAGTTTTATGCCAAACAAGTTACTTTTGTTAAAAAAAAATTTGTATAAACTCTTCAAATATTTTATTAAACGCACTCTTCATCAAATCTCATTAAAACAGTGGTTAATAGCTTAAAGTTAATTATTACATTAAATGTGTTTTACCCCTCTTAACAAAAATTTTTTCCACATATTGTTGGAAGTCAACCCCTCAAAACATGTTTTAAAAAACTTGGCTATCTAGCAAATCTCCTTAAAAATTGTTTGTAAAACTTAGAATAGTTTGTCATAAAAATTAAATATGTAAGGAAGCTACATTTGATTTGAATAATTGTAGTCATTTTTTTTAATGAATTTTATTTAAATATACTTAGAGTATAAATATTTTCTTATTGATATTAAATAATTGATTGTGATGTATGATGAGATTATTGATTTGTAATAATTATTGTATAAATTATATTTAAAATAAATTTTAATTAATAAACCAATATTTTTTATATAATAATATATAAAAATTAATTTTTTAATAATATATTGATTATATTTATTGAAGATTTTATATTTATTGAAGATTCATTCACTGTGTTTCACACACCAAAATCACTAGGTCATTTTGTGATTCTTGCACATAGCAGGACAACACTCTTACTTAAGGGATGTTTAGTATGTGATATGTTTTTACTTTCTTGTGAATCTTAAATTGTAAATCTTGGTTTTCCATGTTTAGTAATTATTTAAAAAAAAGATTCATGGTAATATAGTTTTTTAAGAACCATTTTTATCCCACTTTCTCACAAAAATATTTTCTCGATGGTGTAAGAATCTAACTTTCCCAAGTTAGAAAAAAAGTTTTATATATATAAAAAAAACTATAATATCCTTTTTTAAAATAAACATTCCCTCTATGTTTTTCTCTCTTTCTCTATCTCTATCACACACTAACTCCCCCTCTCTTCCTCTCTCTCTCTCTCCCCCCCCTCTCTCTCTCTCCTTTTCCCCTTCTCTCCATCACTCTCACTCTCTCTCCGTTTCTTCCTCTCCCTCGCTCTCCTTGTCCCTTCTCTTTTCCTGTCATATCTTTATTTATCTCTTTGTTGTATTTTATTATTTCTTGATCTTGTTAATTTTAATAATATTATTAAAGTTTATTTTGTTTCTATAATTTAATGATATTTGTTAATATTTTTTATTTATTTTATTTAAATAAAATGAAATAATATATTTTTATTCTTCTTAATTATAATGTAGCATTTTTCTTTTT